TGGCTGAATATTTCCAAAACTTTCCTCAGGCAAAAGGCAATCAATGAATTATTGATCAGATGCATGGGAAATGACACGCTCTGTCCAAGTACACAATCAAATTTTATTACCTTTTCCTTTAAATGGAAATTGAAGTCTTTATTTTGGGTCCTTAAAAACCTTAGTTGTGTGCAACAGCACACAAAGGGAGACAGGATGAAATTATTCACTGAATTGCTTAAAGAAAGGTTGTTTGCAACCTTTTAATAGACTTTTTAATAAACTTTCCATAGTTTCCCAATTGTGCACTTTTCAATTGACAAAGTGCAGCAGGTATCACAACCGCTTTGCTCCCTCCCCAGAGATGTTGTCAAAGAGACAGTTCATGCCAACAAGCAAAAAGAATTTAAAATCAATACATTAATTAAACCAAGAAAGAGAGAGAGGAAAAAAAAAAATATGTTTTTTTCAGCTTTAAGACTTGAAGGTGTTTGTTAGAACGCATTGGGGTGCTCAGCAAAATTTCAGCTTTGTACAACTAAATCCTTTGTAATTTTATTGAATCACAGTAGCACTAGCAGGCTGAATAAAAACATCTGCTGCAGACCTGAAAAGCATACTAAGAAAGGAATCATCTTAAGACATTCTGCTTAGCTCTCAGGGTCTCTGTTTACAAAATGGACTCGCTTTTATCACAAGGAAGCTGACCATTTCAAGCAACAAAACTTGTCAAACTAGCCAGTAAAGCAAAAAAAAACCTTTTTTTTTTTTTTTTTTTTTGGTGGGAGGTGGCATTCCATTCCCAAGAAATGCCTCAAAGCAGGGCATTATGATCTTTCCCACCTCTGGGAAACAGCTAGAAGGTCAATAATTCAAAATGACCTTGGGTTTTCTCTGACTTGAACTATACAAACTGTTTTTCAGTTACCCAAAACCCCCAAACATCTCAATAATAGTTAAAGAGAAATAGTATCACTTTAACACCTTTTTTTTTTTTTTTTTTTTCCTGATTAGCTACTAGGTGAAAGCCTGAAGACACATCAGGCCAGCTGGGTTTCTGAAATTAAATCCCTGGCGTTATCATACAACCTATAGTTTTGTTCTACTTCAGAGTAGTTACTCTGAAAGTAATTTATATGAAAATGGTTCAGGTAAATGTAAATAGAATTATACAGAAAACTTAAGAACCCATAGTGACTAGGGAGAGCTGGTTGTATTTCATCCCTATATGAGTAGAAGAACATGGCTTTTTACACGTATACATCTTTAATCGTATTATTGGTCACTTCCTCTAAGATTTACAAAACTCCTTTACCTGCCTGGATACTGACCTAAAGTATTGTCACCGTGAGCTGTAAGAGGCAACTGGGATAAGAAAAAGGAAAAATCCAGAATGTTCTTGATGGGCCACTGTTCTAACCCAGCTTGGTATTTCTGATGTAATTTCATACTTCATATAATTGAGAACTACTTTATTATTTATGGTAAAACCCTCCACAATCAGCCTTTTATTATTTGGATTTTGTCTGCTTTGCATTTTCACATTCTCTTTTATTACATTCTATAATATTTCTCAGTCCTTTACTACAAATGGTGTTTTAAAACTTATATATACTTCTTAAAATTTTTACTACTTTTTCCACTTTCATGTTAATTCCAGTTTAACCTCTCAATATTTGTAACTGAATGGCATGTACTACGTTAATGTGCACATTAATCTGTCATTGAACAGTTTTCATTTCCTCTTGCTGACAGTTCTCTTTAGTACTTAAATCCCACTTAGCTCCACTGAAGGTTGCTGTATTTTGCTATAATTTGCTTTGCTGAAAAATAACCTTTCACTTTGTTATCCAGTCTAGCTTTAACTCTGTAAACCAAATTAGATGGCATATGTCCTTCATGTTGTACCTAACTATTCCATGGCTAATTAAATCTTTCAGTTTGTTAATAAAGTTCTACTCATTTTCTATAGATTCAGTTTACTACAGTTCACAGTTACTGTAAGGTCAGTTTTCAGCATCTCCTAACAGTTTAAACAGGGACAACAAACTCCTGGGGAGCAATAAGGGTCACAGAATCACAGAATCTTAGGGGTCAGAAGGGACCTCAAAAGATCATCTAGTCCAACCCCCCTGCCAGAGCAGGGTCACCAAGAGCACATCACACAGAAACGTGTCCAGGTGAGTTTTGAATGTCTCCAGTGAAGAAGACTCCACAACCTCTCTGGGCGGCCTGTTCCAGTGCTCTGTCACTCTCACAGTAAAGAAGTTCTTCCTGATATTCTCTTGGAACCTCCTATGTTCCAGTTTGCACCCATTGCCCCTTGTCCTGTCACCAGACATCACTGAAAAAAGCCTGGCTCCATCCTCCTGACAGTGGCCCTTAGCATATTTGTAAACATTGATGAGGTTGCCCCTCAGTCTCCTCCAAGCTACAGAGACCCAGCTCCCTCAGCCTTTCCTCATAAAAGAGGTGTTCCACTTCCTTAATCATCTTTATAGCTCTAGTGGCCCAAGTTATGCCAGCAGAGGTTTAGACTAGACATTAGGAAGAATTTCTTCACTGAAAGGGTTATTAAACACTGGAACAGGCTGCCCAGGGAGATGGATGAATCACCATCCATGGAGGTGTTTAAAAGACCTGTGGATCTGGTGCTCAGGGACATGGTTTAAGCACTGGACTTGGTAGAGGTAGGTTAGTTGTTAGCTTAGTGGTTGGACTTGATGACCTAAAAAGTCTTTTCCAACTATGATTCTGTGATTAGTCCAACATCCAAATGTAGGAATGTGCATGCAAACATGTAAGAATTTAATTTGTGGAAAAAACTTGTGATGATCTTCGTATGGCAGAGTGAATGAAGGAAAGAATATGATGGAAAAAAAATAAAAAGGAATACTGCACTGATCTAAGAGACCACTGGTTGAAAAGATGTCACAAGGAAGCAAAACCCCCAAAGGATTTGTAGTAACTGAATTTTACTGTCTTCTACTTTTAATCTTAAAATAGATAATTTTTAATTTTTAAATAGTTTTTCACATGGAAATAAGCTCCTCACCAATCTCAATCAGCCTTTTTCTTCAGAAATACTCATTTAACTTTGCAAATTCAGTGAGTATGAAAATTAGATATGGGGAAAAGCTTTCCTATCTATGTTCGTACCACATGCTCCAAGTGTTAGCCATTTAATGGATATCACCAGCTACATTGTCATTTGGAAGTGAGACTTGAACACACTCTGTCAGGACTCTCCTCTTTTTTGTGACATTACTCCTATTTACAAACATAGAAAGATTAGGGTAGGACTTGTCACCAGTCGTCAGTCCCCAAATTAAAAAACCCAACTGTAATCTAGTTAACAACTGTCTGTAAGGATAACTGGAAACCATAAGGCAACACATTACTCATTGCAACAACGGAAAACTGCATAAAGGGAATCAGTGATAATCTGGCCACCAGATTAAATCCCTTAAGATCCCACCTTCAGTATTCTTCCTTCTATCTCTAATCCACAGGTCAGAATTTGCAAAATGATTTTAGGTCATCTCCATGGGAGATTACAATTTATTTAATTTGGGGGCAGATTGGAAAAGGGTAATCGAAAGCCTCAATTGTGCCAAAGAAAAAAAGTCTCAGTCTAAGATCAAGAAATCTTAATACAAGAAATATGAAAGTCCCTACTTGTAGAGCTGTCATGAGTTCAAAATTCACCTGGACTTAAATATACCACAATTATTTCTGGTAGAAAAAGAAAAGTCCAAGCAGATGTGGAAAAAAAAAACCCAAACCTTTCTGTGCATTCACAATGAGAGCATCTATAGGTACCTGTATGTGCATGTGTGTGTGGGTGTATAGACACACACATACATGCATTGTATGCAAACATACTACAGATGGTTTCTTACCCACTACCCATGATTTAATAGTGTTTTTTTCAAAACTGAATATAACACACACACACACACAAGCAGTTTCTCTGAGAATTTTAATTCTGTAAGCCATGAACTATTTGAAGACAGGATGCTAAAACTATATGGGGTTTGGGTAAATTCTCTCAGATGTTTATTCATCAGTACCATAACACACACCTTTCTTATCTGGATATTTCAATGCAAAGGAGCACAACTTCCAAACATGACTTTTGCTAGTCCTTTATATTAATATATTTTGGACATGTAATTTTATTGTGTTTTTTTCCCCTATTTTTTACTCCACTAGGTGGCACAATTAATATTACTTGCTTAAACGATGTCTTACACTGTCCAAAATTAGGTCTATATTGAAATAAAAATTTCCTAATAAAAAGAGCAAATAGCACATCGATTGAATTCCAGAAGACTCTCACTACCCCCCTAAGTGAAATATAGAGCACATATTTAAATAAACTCACACGTCTATATCTCACATATATTTGAATTTGCCTTTTAAGTATTGTCCTGATTTCAATTACCTCATTCATTGACTTTTAACAGGAACTTGTAATTTGTTAAACCAGGACTTCCAATTGCCTTCCTAAAATATTTCTTTAAAATACATGAATCACGTTAGGCTACTGTTTACTTTATAGCTCCTGGAGAAACTTGCCAACAGAACAGATAACCCAAAATTGAAAATGAAGCTGCAAAACAAAACTTTTCCTATAATGGCTGGGTACTGAGTGGAGTCAGGCTGCTTGTATTGCAACAGGAAAGCTTAAAAGATACACAAGCAGGGAATTGTCTTGAGAGAATCACGCTCAGGAGACTTGAAAGGGAGTATGACAAGATGATGCTGCTGATGCAGAAGGCAGGTAGCCAGAGACAGTATTAATGTTCAGAAGAAAAGGGAGGGAACCAGGTAGTTAAGTTTCCAGAAGCCTCAGCCAGACAAAGAAGAACTCCAGACATGTAAGAAACTCTGTGGTAATCCCATGGTTTTATTGCCCTTAAGTTTGTAACATAACACGTAGCTGAAGTCATAAGAAAACCCTTAAAAGTTATACCAAAAATTCTCGTTCCTTCTGTGTGAGCTTTTCCAAAGACGCTCATTCTTGGGTGCTCTGTATGAGTTTTCTGACATTATTATAAAGTTTTGCAGAAAATATATCTCAATGTATTGGCCCAGAAAAAGAGATTGTTAGAGAACTTGATTTCACTTTACACAATGAGACTGAGAAGAATCTTATAATTTATCTATTCATTCATGTTTAATTAATATTCAGATTTCTGTCACTATGAAGACTTAACCAAACCCATAGACCCCATTGTGATCACAGACTTACTCTTGTCAGTAGTTCATCCATCTCTGTCACCAGGGTATCCAGATTTTCTTGTGCTAGCTGAAGAAGTCTCTCTGGTGCTCTCTGTGGTGAAAGCAAATGCTGTTGGGGAAAAGAGAAGGGAGAGTGGAAACCTATATTTAATGGATCTCAGTGCTTCCAAACCTTGCAGAGATGCAGCACTTTTCATTACAGTATGAAACTCCCTATTGTCATTGACTCTTATGTCACATGCATCCAATGTACTTCTCTCAGGAACCTTGACAGCTTACATAGTTCAGGGGAGAACCTAGAACTGTAGCAGTGAACATACAATACATAAAATACAGAACTGCTTTATGAACCACCACCATGAACACCATTTTATTTGTATGCAACATAACTTTTTGTGTGCCTGCAGTATAATTCCTTGCATAAAAGTACACAAATTAATGCTGCAAGTTTTATTTGCTAAAATAACTCAAACTAAATAGCTGTAATAACTATTTACCAACCAAGGCAAGTCTGAAGTAAATAAATCCTGAATTTTTCTTCTTCCCTGAACCTACTCATGGCTATATGTTTTAACAGATTCAAGTAGAGTCGTACTGAAGCCCTGCTATTTATATATGTGAACACTGTGAACATACCTTTAATTCCTGTGTCCTGTTCTCAAACCCATGCAACATTTTATATGGAGCAGGCAGTGGACCACTAAGGTTAACACTAAGGATCATCTGGTTTAGCCGATCGAGGTCATTGAGAAGGAGTCCTGTGCATTCATCATCACAAGCTATAGGGAAGAACAGCAAAGCTCATTAATTCCTGCTAAATGTGTGAGACTTATGTTTGAGTTAGAAATATTATGGCACACATACAATTCTGTGAGAGGTAACACTAATTTCAGGTAATTTGCCCCAAAAGGCAGTGTGAGAAAAAATGAGAATAACAACTAGGGAACAGGAAAGACCTTATTGCTTACAACTTGGTCATGGGACAGTGTAATACAAATCATGAAGAACAAAATTGGTAGTCTTAACTCAAAAAAAAAAAAAGAGGAAAGAATCCATGGTGTCCATTATGGACTAGTTGATATAAAAACCTAAACTAGACAAGCAATTTGCATAAAGTTTGAGAAAAGTGGGCAGGCAATTTGGAAAATCTAAGGAGCATTTCAAGCAGTATAGTACAGTTATGGATTTGGATGTAAGCAAAAAACTGCAGAAATCTTACAATTTACATACTTTATGGTCATATAACAGACAGTAGAAAGAATCCAGGTAACAATATAAACAGTTTTATTTTAAGAAATGTTTTTCATTTATGCTTCCTTTCTTGCAAATATTCTTTAGCATGAAAAATAGTAATGTGTGCTGCACATGCCAAAAGGAGTTTGCATTTCCCCCCCATTGCTTTCTATTAACTATCACAAGAAATTCTCATAAGCTTAGTCTCCTATAACTTATGCTGCAGATAGGAAAATTCTTCATGCTTCAGAAAAGAGTTGTGGGAATGCTTTTCTGTTTCCCTGCATAAGGATGCTAACACAGGACTGGTAAACCTAAACAAATCTCAGGAGACAGGGCAAACTGACAAAACAAATTCACTCTTGGTGTTAAGCAACATGGAAGGTTGTACCGAAAGTTTTACAGGTATGTAATTATGTATTTCAGCAACACTCCTTAGGCAGCTCAATGGCTAAAAAAAACACTAAACATTGTGTATGCTTCTGCAGCAAAAGAGAAGTAATTTTCAAAAGAGAACTACATTTTCCCCCCTGAAATCTATTCTTCATGAAGATGATATCTTTTCTATTCTTCAAAGTAACTACAGTTACCCAAAAGTTGTTCCTATGCTGTAGGTTGGCTGTTCAACACAGCAAAGACTTGAGTCAAATATAGAGAAAAGACAAAGTACTAGTTTAATCCACCTTGAAACTTATGAGATGACTGAAAAGGAGACAAGATAGATGCTAGTTTAGTGCAGAAAGAAGTGGGTGTGGAAAGCTAGATACTGTTATTTTTAAACTTCCTTTTGCATTTCCATTGCTTCTATCTGCAGACTTCTTCCTCCTTTTTCATGGTATTTTGTTACATAAATTGAACTGCACTGGAACTTCTCTGCAGTTTTTAACTGTGGGCATGATACATTCTGATTTATGTTTCTATGTGAAATTAAAAAAATTATAATCTTATACCATCTCAGCTCTTGTCATCCATGTGGCTTGCTTCTAGATGTCAGAGAAAATTAAAGGAAAAGTGAGCTTTACAGCCAACTGCCTGTTTTATAGAACACCTGTTCTGTAGCTGGTCAACGAGGTAAGCAGACTTGACAATCATTCTGCTGAATGCAAAAAAAAGTGATCTTGGACCTGAAAGGAATTGTTTTTTGTTGGTCAGTTGGCTGGTTTGGGGTTTTTTTGTGGGTTTTTTTAGGTTGTTTTTTTACTCATACATTATTTCACTTATCAAACAAGATAAATTTATTCACCCTCAAAATTGTCAGGGTAGTTGGTAATAAAGTTCTAAAAACTTGCTAGATGTTAAATAAAAATTCAATTCACACCAATAAGAAAATAAATGAACAGCTTATGAAGAGATGGAGAGATGGAGTATTCTCCATGACTGAGCAATTGAAAAGTGAGCATTCAGTATAAATTAACACAACTTCCACAATCAGATTGAGAAGAGGATCTACATCAAGTGAGGACCACAGTTGAGTAGATAAGACAGGACTAAGCTACTTCAATAAACAGTCTGAAATGCACTGTAGCTATGGGAAGTATTTCAAGAGCATGATTATATTTTGCCAGACTAAATACTTCTGTGTCTGCCTTTAAAACTGTCAGGACAGTTTTGTGTCTAATATTAACAAATGCAGCATCAAATTCAGACCATTAAAACAGTGCAAGCATGTAGGAGAAAAATCATGCAGTCAAAGTTACAAGGAGTCCAGCAAGCAATTAATACAAATTACTGCATTTTTCCATTTTCACCATACTTTCCCATGCACAAAAAGTCCTGTAAAGATTTTGACTTACCTCTTGTGAGGAGCATCTCCAAAGTATGCATGGAAAAGAAATTGTTTATTAAAAAACTAACTACTCAAGTAATAAAAGACACAAAGTTTTTGGACATTTAACCACTTCCTCCATCTTACAAACAGAAGATAATGTACGGGAAAGGAACTGCGTGTCTGAGCCACAATGTAGTCCTCCAATTGAGTGATTATCTAACAGAATTTTGCTTTAATACCTTCAATACTGTCAAGATTCAGAAGACTGTGTTATGACTAGGTACTTTTTTAGTCTAAGGACCACTATGCAATCTCTGATATGAGGTGGTATCCCATCATAGTCAGTGACTCTTATTTTCCTGTTGCTTCTCAATAAACACTGAACTATTGTTAGCCTCATTAATATGCTGGTTGTTCCTCATTTTTCTTGTTTTAGCACTGGTCTTACACCAAACAATAAACATGACCTCTTCTGCCTCCCAGAACAGAACTCCTGTAAAGAGCTGAAAAATTTAGCTTCTTTGTCAGTGCTGCTGCTTTCAGGGAGTTTGCATGTTCAATATGTCTTCAAAATCTGGAAAAATTCAGATCCATATAAAGGTCTTAAGTACAGACTCAGGTTTATTTCTGTTTTTCATCATTTAGAAAGCCTTGTTTGCTGGTTCAAATACAACCAAGAACTAATTAGGTTTACATAGCACTTAGTTGGGCAAAAGACATTGCAGTGTGTGTCAAAACTCAAGAGGAGCTCATGCATCAGAAAAAGAGAGAATAACTGATGGCTTTTCAGCTTCTAGGCCAAGTATGGGTACCTGTCCCTTATTGAGCTTCTGAAGACAAGAGTAGCAGTTGTCCAGAGCAGAGGTAAGTTTAATTCTTACGGCTGTGTCCTAAGGGCTCACAACTTCTGTTAAAGGCAGAACATGGCAGAAACTCATCCAAGGCTTCCCAGATCTGGTGTTACACATCTTATCTTTCATTTCAGCTCACTCTGTGAAGGCTTGTGATAAGATGCTCAAAGCTCCTGCTGATTTAAAGACTGTAGGAGCTAAGAAATGCTTCTTTTAACAGATCAGTCAAGATCTGCCTCTGACAGAGAGAGTATTTCTGCTTAGTTCTGAATTTAGAAGATCATGGAGTAATTCCCTGTTTCAGAGGGAAAACCTTGCTTCTGCCACAACCAATGGTTAGGAGCTTCTTTGTTCTCCTTAGGACAGAAATGAGCAGCTGGGAAAAAATATCCCTCTCATTGCAAGAACCAGTCTACTTAGAGTAGAATACTTCAGTGTCCATGGTAGTAAAGGAATCTGATAATATAATTTTCTCCTTCTACCAAAATTGAATATCTAAATTCGTAAAGATATAAGGCTGTTGACTGCAGCATGCAGCATGGCAGAAGGTCCATTTTTCCCCCCAAGACTGAGTTAGAGAAAAATTCCTAATGACTGTTCTCTCTATGCCATGATCATTTCCTGTTCCCTCTTCATTTTGTTCAGCAGAATTACATCTATTACTTTATATTTAGGTTTTTGCTTGACCCCAAGGAACATTTGTGACAAGGGCATATATTTGAGGAAAGGTTCTGCTGTTTGTATTGCAACAGAGCTCAAAATATCAAAGCCAAGTTTTTTTGAAGTCCCCATTATAGTTATGACTGCTGCCCTGAGAGCATTCAGATGAGTTTTGACTTGCCATGTTTAATAAAGCCTTGAAGCTCTGACTAGGATAATTTTTTTTTCCCCTAAACACTGCACAGTAGCAACCACAGTCACTGTTCCAACAACATTGTAATCTAAGGTTCTTCATTTTATGTAATACAAACTCAACAACAGAAGTTAAGTGGAATGTCATAAGGTATAACAAAAAATACACAAAAGAATTGCTGATCTAAGAAAATGCACAATTGCTACAGGGTTGATCCAATACCCATTGTAGCTCCTTCTTTCCACTTAAGCTTGCTAAGGTCAAAGCTCTTTGGGAAGGAGGAGGAAGAAGCATAAACATGCTTTGGCTTGTTTACCTATTTCTGTTTATGACAAATATGAATCAAGCAAACTAATTATCTCAGTCTGTCTAAGAATGCTGGGTACAGATGAACTGAAGAAAGTCTATAGCATCACAGAATCATAGAATCATCCTGGTTGGAAGGGATCTTGAAGATCATCAAGTCCAACCATAACTTAAATCCCCCTACCATAACCTAATTTACCCGTTCAGTGCTTAAATCATTTTGCTAGGCACTATACCTACATTTCATCTAAATGCTTCCAGGGATGGTGACTCCACCGCCTCCCTGGACAGCCTGTTCCACTGTCCCACAACTCTTTTGGTAAATAAATTCTTTCTAATATCCTCCCTGGTGTGGTTTGAGGCCATTTCCTATAGAAATGAACAGGCTGCTCCTGTTCATCACACAACTCAGCCATGTTCTGGATTGGGACAGTGCAGTTTAACTAAGAAAGCAGAAAATACAGGTCTTCAGCACTGTAGTGACTGCAGGCCAGTCAATAACTTTCAGCAGAATAAACATTGAAATATGTTCATTACATTAAAAATGGGTGATGCATAAGGGAACATCAATCATTTAGAGGAAAATTAATCTGGAGTTACAAATAATGATAAAAATCTGTAAACATTAGAGAAGATTTGGGAGAACTTTCATCTTATTTGACACTATAAAAGAATGTTGGCAGCATTATTAAAAATAGTTCAAAATTATCACTAATTTTCTTATTGGCAACTGACTTTTTCAAAAGAGAAGGGAAAGTGAGCCTAAGTGGCAGCCAAGAAGGCCAACAGCATCCTGGCCTGCATTAGGAATAGTGTGACAAGCAGGACCAAGGAATTGATCCTGCCCCTCTGCTCAGCTTTGGTGAGGCCACACCTTGAGCACTGTGTGCAGTTTTGGGCACAGCAGTATAAGAAGGACGTTGAGGTGCTGGAGAGGGTGCAGAGAAGGGCAACTAGGCTGATTAGAGGTCTGGAGAATGAGCCTTATGAGGAGAGACTGAGAGAGCTGGGGCTGTTCAGCCTGGAGAAGAGGAGGCTGAGGTGAGACCTCATTGCTCTCTACAGCTACCTGAAAGGAGGTTATATTGGGGTGGATGTTGGCCTCTTCTCCCTCGTGACCAGTGATTGGATGAGTGGAAATGGGGTCAAGTTGCACCAGGGAAGGTTCAGATTGGCTATTAGGAAAAATTTCTTCACAGAAAGAGTGGTGAGGTCTTGGAACAGAGACTGCCCAGGGAGGCGGTGGAGGCACCAGTCGTACAGGTGTTCAAAAAAAGGGCAGACATGGTGTTTCAGAAGACAGTTTAGTGGTTAGGGGTTGTAGAGCAGATTATTGGACTTGATGACCTTGAAGGTCTTTTCCAATCTTGGTGATTCTATAAAGAACTCTTCATTAGCCAAGTATTATGAGTATCTGTATATTACAATCTAGATGGGCACTTTAGCTGAGAAAATAACCCAATTAACCATATTACTAAAATAATAATAAAAAATTTACAATAGGGAGAATATAATTCAGACTCTTGTATTACTTATTTTAAAAAGTCTAGTTTTTGGATATAATTTTCCAATCCGTAATAGTGTCCTAGAGAAAACAACATTGTTCTGTTCTAAGAATATAATGGGAAGTGAATTTTGCCAGTGTCTTTTACTTCTGATTATCTTTCCAATGTTATTTAGCAGTAAACAAACTCTCATGCTTTCTACAGTGGTTTTAAAAAACATATATTCTCTTTCCATTCTATCTGTAGCTTTCTAAAATAAAGCTGTTATAATGCAGCATTGAAAAGTGGCATGCACTAAGTGACTGAAAAATGAAATGTTATGAAAAAAACCTGGTAAGAACCGGGGAAAGCAGATTTTTAGCTATATTAGAAATAGATAATTTTAATGAATATGCTTGCTTCTCCAGACTTTTTTCTGTCTTTTCACTGCATATTTTCATTTTTAAAATCTTTAGAATGCTTATGATAAGGAATATGTTAAAATATCAATGTTATGTTTAAACATTAATACCTACAATATTGTTGCTAAACCACCTCTCTATCTGGAGTTATTTGTGCATTATTTAGTTTCCATGTCTTACTGTGTGGTGACTTCTTATGGAGTTTGCCAAAAATTCATCATACAGATGGCTATTCATTGCTAAATATTAAAAGTAAAATTTTACCGTCCTAAAGATAAAGTATAGCATAGTAACATTGGGCAGTTTAATCACACTATGCTTTATATCACTTACAACTACATTTTTTCAAGCATGGGTGATTGTCTTTGCACGTATTACCTTTAAATTAGACCATTTTACCACCTAAGTAGGGGTTCTTCACACTTCTAACAGGTACAATGCAATTGCAGTACTTGAAATGGAACCCTGCAAATGAGTAAAAGTAGATACATGCACCCAGCTCATTTGAAATATTGAATGCAAGTAGGATTCTGCATACAGCACTAATTTTCTGTACATTAAAAGTACTTAATCACTATTATGATTACTATTAAGGTTTCATTACAACTGAAGCAAGTCAGACGGGAATTTATTGAGTACTTTGGAAGTTGATGATAGATCAAAGTAAATACATGTTGTACAAAAGACAAAAATTCTCAGGTACATTAAACTCAGATTGGAACAGAAAACATTCTGGGCATAAGAAAGGTTTCCTCCAAAGATGTTTCTAACTGTTTTTTTATAGCACAGTGCCTACTAAATCACATTGAGAGCTGTATGAATGAATCCCTGTCAGAAGAAAACAGCTGTGCTCTGAAGCCTGTGATACACTGAGCAATGTTAACTCCAGGCAAGCGTCCCATCAAGTCTACACTTGCCACACTCCTTTTGTCTGCCACAGCCCCTGTGCAGGTAAATGGTTTTCTACCATGTGAGGGTTATTGCCATACATGAGCAAAGGCAGGTTTGGACTAGTGCAAGGGTTGAGGAACCTTTAAACAAGGGAAAAATCATATGGGGAGAGGAAATAGGCATGAAGTGCCTAATTAAATACTTAACTGCTCTTTTTGCAATTGATGACGTGGATGCTATTGATGTGGTGTTAGTAGTAACAGACTAATTCCTGTGATAGGGCAGATACAAAGTACCTCCCATCTGTTCCTATAGGTGGTTTCTGTTTTTATGACTAAAGGAAAGAAATCTTTTAATTGGATTCCATGCTTCTAGCAATGACATTAAATATCCATATGCACATGCAAAGGACTGTTTTTATGATGAAAACAGACTAACATGTTAAAGTAAAAATGCTGCTACAGGCAGTGCAGATCTATTTCAAAACATGAGTATATTGCAATTAAATTAGAGATTATAGTCCGCCACATCTTTCAAAGCAAAAAGATGGAAAATTTGATTTGCCTGCACACAGCTTTTCCCATTCACAGTGAGGATTTTTAACCTTGTTATCTACACAAGAAAAGACTCTGATTAATAAGTTGGAAAACCATTACAAATGGAAGCTTGTACTTAAAGCTGTTTTGTACAAAGAACCTCTGCCATCCAGGATATCCAAAAGACTCTTCTGAATACTGATTAGGTACTTATCCAGTAAAAACCATATTAAGTGGTGCCTGGGATTGGCTATATTGGAAGTACATTACTGGAAATAATGTAACAGGTATTAATAATGTAGAAAATGTAAGTAATTTTCATATAGACACCACTCTGGAAAACATAGTCCGTATTTTAAAATTTTGTAGCTGTAACAATTACGAATTTAACTCATGATTACAATTCTCCTTAACATGTAGGCCACAAAATGGAAGCCAAAGCATAGTTATTTCAGCAATGTACCCACTTCCTCTCTTGCATTCATTTTGCTGTCATTTAAAATAGAGCTCAAGATATGCAATAGTTCAGAAGTAAGTCCTGAACTACATCACACTGCAGGACATTATAACTTTATTTCCCTTAAGTACACAAAGCTTTTCCTCAATGAATCAATTCCATATTGTTAATAAAATAGAAATATAAGTATTTATGTCTATATTTCCATTAATCTTTCTGTTCATTCTCAAAGAAGACTTGTAGTTGGGAACACAAACTCATGCAAAAAGACTGAACACAACAGTCAGATTTAGCATAGTTCTGCTAAGCACTGATCGTTCTCTGAGAGCTGATCACAGCCATTAAGTTGAGTTAAACTATTTTCTGCACTGTGCAGACCCCAACCCTACCTGCCTAATGCCTTCCTCTTTAACCACTCAAAGAAGCTACATATTTAATTCTTGGATTATATGATACCTTCAGCTATTTTTAGCACTTCTTCAGTTTCTTTATTTTTTCAGTTTGCTTTTCAAATGCTTCCACTTCGAGCTGTACTTGCTGACTTTAATGTTAGATAACTGTACACCTCTGGGTATTGAGGTACAGAATGAATGCATTCTGTGAAAATAAAACCCTATTTTTTTTGGTATCTACTTGCCTTGATGGTGCATGTCCCTCACATAGGCAAAAAAGCCCGAACACAAGAGGAAAAAGCTCCAATTAAAGTCTTATAACAGATAAAAATCAAGGAAAACATTAAAACAAGTTTATTGTGCCTTGGAAATATATTGAAAGACACAGAGAGTAAGAAATATTATATACTGTGGACTTACTGGATCCTTATTTGTTCTCTACTTTAAAATGAACAATAAGGGACTTGTTGGGGGAGTATAAAAAAGAAAAAAATCACAATAAAATTAATTCCTATTCAGCTGGGGGAGATGGAGGAGAGGAAAATGCCTTATTTCAGTCAGGATTTATGAACTGTTCTAGGAAGTTTTTGATACCCTGGTTTTTTGTTTAGGTTTGGTTTTGGTTTTTTAAGAAGTAGGCATACTTTTAAAAGTATGGGCTTAAAGGTTGTGGTCTTAGAACAAACATTATTCCATTCATGGGGAAAAAAATTCAAACAATAAAAAAAGGACAAGACATTTGGTATATATCAAAACTGAAGGTAAGGCAAAGATATTGGTGCTGTAAAATTTAACTTGGTGTTTTAGGCTATCAGTTTTCTATTTTAAATAAAGGAAGTTATTTGCTCCTGGATATATCGTACTGTCATTCCTTATATCTTTGAAATAACAATGGGTGGTTGTTGAACCAACATGATCAAGCAAATCTTGGTAAAAACTTCCTGTGTGACTCATGGCATAGAGTATTGCAATGGCTGGTTAACTACTTGAGACAACACTAAAAATTTCAGTAAGAGCAAATATTGTCACAACAGCAACAACCTTTAGCAAAACTACAGACTTCAAAAATCCATAAAAAGAAATCTTGCAAAGCTTTGTTGGCCATTTTCAGTGAGCCTATTAAAAAGTATTGAGTTTTCCTAATATATCAAGGCTTCTGAAAAAAAAACAGACTTGAATGTCAAAATAGTAAAAAGCTTAGTGACTGTTTTCAAAGAAACCCACACAATGGACTGGTGCACAAGTAGGATTACATTTCTGAAATACGACAAACACAGTTAAATATTATCAAGAATTCCATTAGTATACGTACAAATGCACTTCATGCCATCACGCGCATGCCGATGCTCACAGCCAGCACATTTCCACCCTGTGAAGCCAGGCTTGCAAGTGCACTGTCCAGTGACAGGGTCACAGGGGACAGGCAGGGAACCGTAGCGATCACACTCACATTCCTGGCAGGAGCCTCCTGGACTCTGTGGGTTTCCCGTGTAGCCAGGAGAACACCTAGACATTGTAAATACGAAACCATGTTTGGCCAAGTGATATGCATAGTGTGCTACACTGAATACTTGGCAAGACTGTAAACAAAATGTACATGAACATTCATCCATGAACCGTTACAAAATCTTTGGTGCTTTATGACCCAGGATGCATTTGCAGAAGAACTGTTGCAAACTGTCCAACAGACTGGTAATAACTTTTAAACAGGACATGGAGCAGTCTGGATGGAAAAGTGTGCAAAGGTGATTCCACATCCCTAACAGTTTCCAGCTAAACTTCTATTATACCATGAAGAAAAGTTTCTATATTAGCAATGTTTGGACTATAAACCTTTTCCCACACTAGCTACTTATGTTTTGGGTCAGAAGTGAAATCTCATAGTAGACGCTAATGTTGACCATCTTAATCCCACAGTGTTGCTATGGATGGGACAACAGCTGCTGTCTAGGTTATTAACTTGCAATTTGGTCATTAGCGTGTTGATATATCTTTCACAGTCAGTGCCCGTGAGGGCACAACAACCACTAGAACAAAGTGTATGAGTGACAGCAAGACGCATTATAAGTATGGTATCTGAATTTAGATAAGTTTTGTATTTTTGGTTTAACTTCTGAGGCCCAGGGGAAAAAAAGCCTTACAAGTAAGGAAGTAAGGCTTTTATATAAATAACATTGATTATCAATTTACTGTGGGTGCACATAAAAATTGCTTAGCATGACTGAATGCGAACGTATAAAGAGGAAATAACATGTCCAAAGGTATGTATTTAAACATTAGTAAATACATAAGCAACCAGTTGAGCAACCTGGTCTAGTGGGAGGTGTTCCTGCCCATGCAGGGGGTTAGATGATCTTTAAGGTCCCTTCAAACCCAAACCGTTCTATGGTATGTTTATAGTATCAAAGGACATTGCTCTCCTTCTTGTCTTGCCTGCCTTTCATTGTCCCTCTCTCTTCTTTTTCCATTCATCCTACCTTTCACAGTACTGGCCTTCATATCCAGGTGGGCACGCAGTACACCGGTAATCGCCAGGTCCTTCCGCAACACAAGAGGGGCTGAAACTAAAACAAAATAAATAAAACACTTTTTTTCACTCTATTGCATAATTTTACTCTAGTCAGCTGTGCATAAGGACCCACGGTAAGCTTCACTCTTAATGTAAATGAAAGCATTTTCTTCTCTGTTTAGAAACATGTGGGAGATCCCTCCTTTCTACTAAGAATTTTGTGAATGCCTTGAAGAGAGAGCTGTGAATACACAGCTTAGAAAAATGCTGGAAGGGCAGAATCCATGAGGAGTCAACAACACGCATGCTGTAGGCTTGTGTGACTGAATGATGCTGTCACTCAAAATGACCAAGAAAAACAAGTAATGGAAGGATGTAAAACAAAAGATTAAAAATCTAAGCTAAAAAACTCCCAGCCTTTCCAGTCTGATTTAATTTTAACTTGAATAAAGGGAGATAAGCCAGTAGTAGTTTACTCAGAGGTAAGACATAAAGAGGGAGAAAGAAACCCAAGTCATAGCCATGTGGAATCTTCCAAAAATGCTTCATCAAGTCATATTCTCAAGGACTGAAGAGAAAAGACTGGCCTAGAGAGGAAAAAACCCCAAATGCTACCTTTTTCTGGATCAGGAAGGAGTAGTACTTTAATAATAGAAGACATCAGATTATTTTGACTAAGCCATGACATAGATGAGTAACTAGTGACTGAAGTGCATAGCTACAGGAACTGTGCAAAGCCGTATGTTGCTAGAACATGAGTGCAGTAGGTGCCTGTACAGACCCTTAAATCAAATAAAAATGGTAGGTAGGGGAAAAGAAACAGAATGAAATGTTAAAATGGTGCAATACTGTAAAACTCTTTCAAGCCTTTGTGGAAGAAGAACCGGATTAGCACAGAGTTGGCTACTAGTGAACCCAGAGCTCCTTCTTTGCACAGTGCAGTCAGCATCCCACTCTAACTTGCTTAGAATGCATTAAATAAGTAGTGCTTGAATGAGTATGTAAAATAACACCTTTGCAAAAATACGCAAACAAATCAATCTATTACTCATAAACTCATTATCCAACACATTTTCAGCTCTATAAAAATAGATCCACACCCCAAGAACAACTCATTCTCTCGGCTGTTTTTTTTGTGTGGATTTTTTTTCCCAGCTCATCATGTTTGAAGCAGACTGCTGATTGTACAGGAGCATATCGACAGTATTTAAAACCTTAGCGGGGTGTTAAAAAAATTCATTAGTAAAAATAATTGCACTATACTCATACACAAATATTATCATGGCAGTCATGACAAAACAAGCTAATGGGATAGCTCATTAGCTATCTGCCTTTCATACAGATTATGATTCCTCGACTACCACACAGTAATTGCAGGTAGCAAGATTTTTTTCCTTAATTGTGTCTTGAAGAGCTTACACTGAGCTTTCACACAAATCCAAGGTGTGATACCCTCATTTTCCATGCAATTCTGTAGCTTTATGGAATGGACTTATCCAACCTAGACCTATCCAGTGAAAAGCAAGGCATGTAGTCTAAGCCAACTGTTCAGACATCCTCTCTCAGCAGTGGAAAATGGAGATGCACATGCAGGCATTTACACACATTTGAAAGATCTCTTTCTCCACCCTCTCTCCAATGGTGGTTTCCTTCAGCTTTAACATGGGTGATATGTATAGTTGGCTGTACCTGCATTTGCTAAACACATATCAAAATTACAGATGGCTACAGCCATCTGAAGTAGAAAACTCATCCATGATATATAGACATCTGAATTAAGCTCTATAAAACCCAAGCAGTGCCGTTTCTGGACATTCTCAGATCTGACTGTTCTCCCTACAGCACTAAGAAACCAGATGACTACCTCATGATTAAACATATTTACTTATTTCAGACTAGGTGTTATTCACTGATGTGAAGGCTTTTGAACAGAAAAGCCTCAAGATTACTTTTATGTGAGCATGACACAAAAGGCCCTGACAACACTGCAGCCATGCAGGCTGTGTGGCCATATGAGATACTGGCACTTTGCTTGCTCTGCTTCCTCAAGCAGCTCAACAATTTAAATGCACACTTGGTACATCTTATTTGCAACTTGAATGTCCTTTCCTGATACTAGTAGAACACCTAATCAAGTTGTAATAAAAAACATCCATGAAAAAGGGCACAACTCAGAAAAACTTGCAATTAAAACCACATTATAACTTTCTGAGATAAAGGGTATTTCTTTCAGCTTTTTTTATAATTGTTTTGGTTGTTTTCAGTTTGGAACTTATAAGCTTTGGAAGTCTTCTTAAAAACATTTGCCATGGGTAAAAGATCATGATGTATTTAGCTACTGATGTTTCAAAAAAGGATTCCTTCCTTTAAAATAAAATTCACACCATCCTAAAATGATAAAATGAGGAAGAAAGAAGAAAAAAAAGCAAACACAAAACCAAAAAAACCACGCAAAACCCCCCAAACTCATATGTACTGGCTGAAATACTCATGAAAAAATAGTAAAGGTCAGACAAAGCACAGAAAAATAGTTTTAAGGAACACTTCCGACCTTTCAAGAGAACAATCATGAAACACAAACCTTTTCAGAGCAGTACAAAAGTATGATTCTAAACATCATTAAGAGTTTTCCAGCAAAACAACAAACAAATCTCAAGTGCTAAAGTATCATCTGTGGGGAACACATGCGGAGACATCGCAGCAAGGCTCATTAGCATTAAGCAACCAATAAAATTTATGCTGCAATAACTATATTGCTTTTAAATTATTCTATCTTTCACAAATTGCCTAAAACTCATGTAACATTAAATAAGGAATCAATAAATTCCACAGTGGAGCAAGAAAGGCACTATAATACATTTATACCAACATAATATATGAGCATAAGAGTTTTTAAAGTTCCCTTGTGGCTATATTGTACTTCAGTTCTACTCTAGCTTCATTTGTGAGAATATCGTCAGAACACACATTCATTATCTGTTGAGCATTGCATTTTCTAGCACTTATTAATTTATTCATCACAAATTAGCAAAGGAGCAATTTCTGACTTTTAGAAGAAGATCAATTAGCAAAAGTAGATATGATTTTTTTTAGTATGGATTACATGACGCAATTCTCGTGTAGGCATCTGGAAAAGGACACAGGGAGCCCAAAACAAAGTTCTTGCTTGCTGGAGAGGTAATTCTGCACCAAGAGTTTGCTTACTTGTTACTAGAAATGGACAGAGGACAAGCACAAGGTTGACAGTCATCTGGAGAGCCTTGGACAATGCCATAAAATCCCATGGCACATCTCTCACAGTGGTGACCAGCAGTGTTGTGCTGACAATTCTGCAAAGGAAGGAGACATAATGAAACCTGTATTTGATAATTACAAGAAATAATACAAGATTTTATTCCCAGCCTCAGAGATTCAAACTTATATTAATATTTTTTCTCTCCACGATATGATTCGCAGTGGGACTGCTTGTTTTAAGCATCTATCAAATGCATGCTGAGTTATATATGGGTTTACATGAAGAAAGAATGGAGGCCTGTAGCTAGCCACATGTATCCTGCAGAATTTGTTATCCCATTCATTTTTGCTCTCCTCTTTTGTTCCAGCTGTTGAAGCAGATATAATTAAAATTCAACCTTACTGTATCAGGTCACACATATTATTACCTATAAGAGCAGTGTTGTGTTTATTGTCTGACACATAGCACATTATCTTTTTAGTTTGCACACACTTCGTTTTTCTTTTTACACAAATAGTAGTTCAGCAGCAATAAAGCCCTGCATAATCTGAACTCCAGAAAATCAGAATGGAAAACTTTTAAAGGTATGTGGTTTGCTTTTTTGAGCCCCCCCTTTAAATTTGACACTAGAGCTATTTAAGCAAAATAGGACAAAATATTGTCCTGTTTTTTTAGATAAGTTACAGAACTTAAAAATTTTACATTAAGATCAACCTAGTGCATAAGTGCAGAAATATAATACCTGACAAATGGATGTTTCAGGGTCACACATAGTACTGTGTCCATGACACTGACATGGAACACAGGTGCCTAAGGGCTGAGCAGGTGTCCTTCCTGCAGCTGAAGATGGAAGCCTATAAAATCCTGGGGAGCATGACTGGAATAAAAAAGATGCAGAAGAATACAGATCATTACAGAGTGCACTAGGTATGGAGAGCATTGCAATCTTTCCAATCACTAGTTTTTACAAGTTGTGAAAAGAACCTGACAGCCTTCCAGCTGTGTTACAAACAATATACAGTATTTTACAGATAACAAGAGTCAGCCCTAATTGGAAACATGGCTGAAAAATCCCTGGAGCACTCCACTGGCACCAGATTTTTCATATTACAGCTTGAGAGACCTTTCATTCAGATGCAGAACGCCTCACTGTTCTCACTGTGCATCAAGCATCATTCCTTTAATTTCTTAAGAATGAAGTTTGGTTTTGAATTTTTTTTTATTACTTTTTTTTTCCACATGGACTGGGGAGAGCAAGCATGAGGATTATGTTCCCTTTACCCTTGGTGATTTTTTCAGGTTTGACAAGATAATATCTGCCTACATACTGCCTGATGGATAACAAGCAAAAGCCAAATAACAATAATAAAAAAAAAAACCCTGGCTGCACAGCTGCATTATTTATAGCTATATAATTTAAAGACCATAAAAGTAAAAAATTCAAAATATTAAAGGTTTTACATGTCCTGGGACTATTAGCCCCAAATCAAATTTATCTATCACTAAGTCTCCTGTACCCCAGCTTGGCAATAAAATTCTAAGAGCAACGCACAAATTATCAGCAAAGCTGACACATGCAAAATTAAGTACTTGATCTTTATTTCAGGCTTATTATGCAAATGCGTGAAAGTGTCTACAAAGCTCACAGAAAGCACACAGATATGGCAGCATAAAAATACAAACAGGACCATTTTGATAATCCAGACCATTAGGGGTAAGTCCATACAGACAAGTCACTTGTCCCACGTATAAATCCCACCAGACAGTGGTGTTAGGAGCCTATGAAAGTCATCTGATGAGGTTATTTCCTACTGATACCCACAATTTCTGATTTTTGGAAAGAATGTGAATGGTACACTTCTCACACAGTAATAAAATGGATGCAAAATAAAACAGAAGAGAATATGGAGTAAGTAACTTTTTCTCATCAAAAAGCAGTATTCTAGCTGACATGCTAGATTCTATTCATATTATAGTTTTATAGTCATTGCCAAAACCACTAGGAGTTTAAGTTACGGAGGAAGCATAAACACAATTATTTTCATCAGAATCACAAAGGAAGTAATCTAACTCACTTCTACTTTTTCCCTTTTATTTTGACTTAGACTATATTAAGATCCCTGAAGCATAGAAACAGTCTATCTGTGTTTTCATGGTTTGTGAAGAATTCCAATTTAGATAAATAATCTCAAATGAAAGTAATTTTTTTCTTATTACAATTTCCTAATTTTTTCCTCCCTCTCCATCCCTAGAAGAGTCTTTTTCCAAATATAGAATTGTACAAAGCACAGCTTTACAAATTCTGAGTAGCTTTAGGATCAGGGTATTAATATATGGTACATCCTCAAACAAATCTAATCTCTAACTCTTTTTTTTCTGATATGCTATTGACACTTTTCTCATCCATTTTGATGTGAGCATTTATGAGAAGAAATTGAACACAAGCAAAAGATGAAGCAGACTACATTTATTATTACTAGTTTGGAAGTTTTTCAGAAGTAGCTATTAGGAAGACTCTTAGCACTGTTTTTTCAGCCTGCTACTGGATTAATAAAAAAATAAAAGGAATATGTTAAAGAAAAGGATATAAATGTCACTTCTAGTAAAAACTGCTGAGCACATAGTCTTCACAATGCAGGTACAGGATAAATAATGAAATTCTTACATATACGCCATTTGCTTTTGCCTAAAAAAAGCCTGGGAATCAGATTCTTTTTTTTCCTACTGAAATTAAATAGAATATAGAACACACCATAACCTTCACTGAGCATATTAAAAATTAGCTAAGTTACGAGCATGTGAGGATTGCACAACTAAGCATGAAGTATGAAGTTTGCAACTGAGACATATATATTCCAGCCCCTGATGGGTGTGAATTAAAATAAATTTCTAATTATATTATCAGGTATTTTCCTTCGAAAATACTATTTGTTACAGTAATTAAAAAGAAAAAAAAATCACTACTGAGAAACTGCTGGAGCTCCTTAATTCCTCATATGTGTATTTCCACCCACTCGAGTGTATGGTTTGACTCAAATACTGTACACAGAAAATGCCAGTGTTGACTTTCTACCACACATTTCCTAAGAGCTCACTGCTCCAGTTGTCTCATTTACTGTGTAACACAATCCTGCAAAACATCTGATGGGAGCAAAGTTCTTGCAGATACCAAGGTACCTTTCCCTTCATTTACTCACTCCAGATCTCCCACCATTAGTTTGATGGAACACTTCACAAGATCCTACTTAGTCAGGACATCTGAACAATTTGCAGAATGCTCAAGGCTTTTTTCCCTGCTATCTCCACCTAGCATTTGTGACAAAGGAATTAGGAGTTGCTAGTGTTGCTTAAAAAAGAAAACACAGTGTTTTGTACAAGGAAAGACTGTCAGTCTCATCATCAAAACCACATGAAGTAAAAAATACTAACTTCTACTCTGCAGTCAAAGTATTACATCTTGAACACTTTCTCTGGTAGCTATAATTGAATAGAAGTAATTAAATTAAGGGACAATTGTTGCCAGTTAAATGAATTCACACTCTATTTACATATCCCACTGTACCTCACAGGACAAACCAGAATAACCCAAGGGGCAGTCACATTTCTCAATCAAGTGGGCCTGAGGGGTCATTCCAGACACAGTGCCTCCTTCAGCAACTTCCATTGAGATCTCAGAAATCCTGAAAAAAAAGAGCAAACATATCTAATGAGATTAGCCAAGCACTAATTCAAACCCAGTTAGTTCACAGTCAGATGGCATGGGAACTAATGGGTCCTATTTGGCTGTTTGTAGCCTTCTTGATCCACAGGAGACAAACAGCATTATTTTTGCCCAACATAAGGAAACAACAGAGCTACCACCACCAGCGGCTTCATTTTCCATTTCTTGGCAATGGTATAAGTAACTTTTGTCTCCTGTTTGATTTTATCTCTCTTTTTTTTAATCTCTTTTCCACCAAACTACTAACAAAAGCTTGTATCTGATTCTTCACTTAGAGAAACTCATTAAGAAATTGAAGTCACATACTAAATGCAGCTCCAATTCATGATTCTCAGAGGTACAGCAATAAAATTTTTCACTAAATGAGCTTTTAATGAGGCAACTATTTGAAAAATAAAATAAAATCTATCCTGAGCAACTAAAGCAACCTAACAAGCTCTAGACCAGACTTCCTTGGACATTTGCGTTTTTTTCAGCAGTTTTAGGATCTGTAGCCAGATTTTATTTTTTATTTTTTTCTTAGGATCTTGTAGACATAAAAAGAAATAATTTAAAGCAAATAAGAAATCCTTCTAGAGAAGCATCTGTTAAGATCAGAAAGGGATATGTTTCATGGTAGAGCTTCTGACATTTTAGCTTTCCAAGCATGTGTTTGATTGGATTATAAAAATATACTTGCCTCTCAACCATTCCCCATCTTTCTGGCATGCATGCTGACCTGCCAAATAGGTTTGAGTACATCACAAAGACAACAAACATAATGTCTAATGCAATACACTTAATCCTAATGCACCACAATGCTGTTCTTTTCACTTCTTCATTTGGGTTTTTTTTTAGTTTCTTTAAATTAATGCTATCATCTGGCTCCCCTTACTGTCTTTAAGAAACAAAAATAATAGAAAAGTGTAAATTTTAAAGCTTCAAATATATCACCAACCTAAAATAAAATTCAGCTAGTGACTAATTAGCTGAATAAATGACAGTAATGCTCCTGGAGTCTCTTCATTGAGGGCCTGTGCTAATGCAGAGGAGCTCAAAGAACTGCTCATCTCTTCATGCTTGTAGTCTGTTCTTCTACTCCTAAACCCTGATTACTGAGTGACTGAGTGACACTCTTCTGTGCATTGACATGGGCACCAACATCAGGATGACTGTAGGAAAGTAAATGCCCACTGCTGAACTTAAAGGTTTTGTGATTGAGCCTAGGTGACCAGACTCGTACCTCTTGATGTCTTGTGACAGTGTAAAATCCCCGCATCATCTAGTAACTTCAGCCCCGTGCTCCCAAGTAATGGGTTGAATGGAGCATGGAAATTGAACAGAAAACCCAGGCAAACAAAGTCAGGTGAAAACAGAAGACCAAAATAAAGAGGGTAAAAGCATTCAGATCCAATATGTCAATGTAAGTTTAGATTGAAATCTCTGTACAGTTAATGGAAAAACAAGATGAGCTCTGCCTCCCCCACCATCTTCAAGGCTGAGGTAATGGTCTGTGTGCTGGAAAAAAACTATTTACTGTCAGGAAGCTGTATTTACATAATAATGTACTCTGGGACCACAAAGCTACCTGTTGTTTGTGTGAAAATGTTACTTAGGGAAGGTCAGGCTTGGTTGGTTCTTGGAACTTGTCTAATAAGCAGCAGTCCAACAACTGCTACCTGATCAGTGTCAGGGATATTGAAAAAATTCAGTCAAATTGAAAACATACTTCCAATTCAAACGAATATATTATGACAGCCCAGTTGCTCAAAAAGCAAGCCAAAATCTAATAAAAGAAATGTTCGAATTTAGAGCAATGAATGTGAAAATGAGGGCAACAAAATGAACAACATAGGATAAAAATGTTTACCTTTGGATTCTGAGCAGAAATCTCTAAGTCACTAGAAATACTGCAGCTTTGAAGCAGGAACATTAGCATTCTACTAAACTATATAGCTAATACAGCCCTAAAACTAGAATTGCTGCTTTTTTGACTTTATTTTTAAATGGTTTTCCAGTAGTTTGTCACTTATCTGCAGGTTTTCAACTCTGCAACTGAAATTAAGACACTATTTAAAACCTTAATGTAATTTTTAAAACCCTTAATATATGATATTTTCCTCCTCCTATCCAGTTCCTTTTGCTTTATACTTTTCTACTATACAGAGTCAGGTGGAAAGAGAAACTTTACTAGTTTAGAACAGGGCCCTTATTTTGAAAGCACAACACTATTTAAACAAATGCTTTATTATAAGTCACTTAATTCAAACATATGTTTAAAGTTGAGCATAAATATTGTCCTTTACAGAGCTTCAGACTATTTTTAATATAAGCCTTCAATTCTTACACAAGCTAATATCCCACTAACCTTTAAAAACATTTTGGGGGATTTATTTTGTGATCTTAAGCAAAATGTCCTCTGAAATAATTTGAGGTGCTAACTTGAAAAAAATAATAATGTATTCCTGC